TGTTTGTGGTGTTTTTTTTTTTTTTTTTTTTTCTTAGGTATGTTCATAGCAAATCTGTTCTAACATCCCTGCACAAACCCAGCTTCCTGCTGGAACAAGACCCCTCACAGCATAATTTTCTCCTTAGGATCAGGGTGAGAGTGAACCTTGGATGTTCTTCAGCACGTGTAGTGAGTTGTGGAAGGTGCTTTTGGAATTACAAAGAGTCAATTCAAACACATATATTGACTGCAAAAGTTAATAGAAAGTGTGTTCCTTTGCTTGATGTGGAGTTCAGTTTATTGAGGCTTTGATATATATTGGCTTCTACTGATCTGTGGTGTTTTGAGTAGTGATGACTTAATAATAGATAAAGGAAAGTAGTAGTGTTTGGATCCATAGTAGATTTGATGGCCAAGCTGACATTACAGAAACCCGGATGCCACAACTGGTTTGAAATGGGTTATTCTGATTTGAATTACTCAAATGTTCAGAATCACCCAGTGTACATCAATTTATTAATATTGTCAAAGGCATTGGGCTTCAATGTAAGCATGACCTCTTGCAGTAACTTGCAGACACTTTAAGAGGCTTCAGAAAAGACTATTATTCTCTGTTCCCTTAATGAAAGGCATTGATTTGATGATTATGAGTAGCTGCGCAGACTTGTATTTGGACTTCATCCACCTCTGTTTTTTTAAATGACTCCCTAATTTTGTTTTCTGCTGGAAACAATACTTCTAGTGGCTTGGCTTCCTGGTAGCAAATCTAATTTCACTTCCAAAGTGATCCTGTAGATCTGGACCCGGTCTGTGCTGCTTGGAAACTTGTATTCAATAAGTAAAAAATTAAAAGAAAGATGACAGGTGGAAGGAAGTTACCAGAAATTAGAAGAAGGTTTAAAAGATGCTATGGTTCTTATTAGCCAATCGTCTGTGGAGCATGGCTGTGTGAAAGGCAGTCATTTCTTACAAACCTTTAAGGCATGGTTCAAGCAGCTTCTTTCAGAATAAGAAACTTGATTTTATAGCCTATGTTGTCAACTTGCTATACAAGATTTTCTTTAAAATGAAGCTTCTTTCAGATTGTCACATTGTTGTATAAATGTAGAGAGATACTTGCCAGATGCTACCTCCTAATCCTGACCTCCCTCTTCCTTCCCATGTGCGTTTGTGCAGGCTGCAGATCCTCAGGAGGTCTCTTGTGATGCTGGGCTAGCTTTCCTATTTGCTTTTCATCTGCCATTTGGACTTACACTGAATCATTTTTACCACGGACATTTTTGTAAGCTTATTGTCCTCTGTTTATACTGGTGCTCTTAGAGACAGTAAGAGGCAATGGATAAATGATCCAATTTCACACAAATTAGATTGATAGAAATTAAAACCTTGTTTGACTTCCTCCAGGATCCGTATGTATGGGACAGAAAGGAAGGAAGGGAGATTCCGAAGAGAGCAGAGGACTTGTGGCCATACTCAGGAGACGGAAGAAGATATATAAGAATTTATCAATGATTCTAAAAATCACCTAGTGGTTCTGTAGGGCAGCCACGTTTCGTGTTGTTCCACCTCCAGGGTAATGAGTTTTAGAAGCTACAGTGGCTCACTTACCTGCTTCCTTTTGCTTTCAAAATAAGAAAATTCAAGGCATGGTACAGTGGAAGAAACTAAATACCTGTATTTATTTCTTTGTTCCCTCTGCTTCTCCTAACCTTAACCTCTGCTTTACCCTGCCATATTCACTACCCTATTTTTTTTTTCTTCCCTGCATTTGAAGTCAGCTGAGGTAACTCATTCCCTTCTTAGTTTGGAAACTTTGAACTATCTCAGGTCTCCAGTAAGTGAGCAGCCCAAAAATCCCCAGTTATCTATTGTCTACTCTGAAAGTCATCTTTTTTTATTTAACATTTTGGATCTTCCCAACCTTAACCCTGAGGTTCTAGATTTGAAACTCTCATAAACTCACATCCTTGCACAAACTCAAAATACATTTGCAATAACTAAAGGCCTTTCATGGACGCTCATTGCTGACTGCAGAAGCTGCTTGCTGACTTGCATTAGGACTAATTGTTTGCTCCTGGGGTTGGCAAAAGCTAAGGATTAAATTGACTTCTCTTGCATTTGTAGTGATGACTTTGTAGGGCATAATTCCAAAACAGCGTGAGGAAAACGTGCACTGCAAATACCTGATTAAAAGGCGACTTTCAAACAATCTCTTTGGTCTCCAAAGTTGTAAGTATATTTGTGAAAGGAGGAAATACTTTTTTTTAAAAAGATCTGCATGCCTGACCAGAACTAGTAAAATTATTCCTCCATGACTTCCAAAATAAACAAGTGGCGTTTAAGAAATTAGTAAAGGCTGTTAATTGAGATTGATATTGTAATCTAATCTTGCAGTAGTATGATTATTATTTATTGGGAGAGTTGATAGTGAGATCATAGGTAATGTCTGAGTGTAAATTTGGGAATGTTTTTTTCCCCCTTTGATTGATTCAAGGCTGTTCTACTTTTAACCCCTAAAAAGTAATCTATTTGCCTACATAGTGCCTGTTCTAAATTAATAGCCATGCCATTGAAACCGTAGGTGAAGTGGTTGCCAGACAGAAATTTGTCCGAGCTGTGCACTGACACCATTTCCTCACAAACTGTGCAAGAGACAGCGTGAGCTCAGCATGAGCTCAGTTTCTTCTCAAGCCAACGACAGCTGAGGATTGCCAGAAGCAGGGATACAGAGCAGCTCATGAGGTCCAAAGTACAATCTCAACCCTGAGAGCTACAATTATTCTACAGCAAGTAACTTGTTCTTCGTGTGCATGCCTGAGCGGATCCTAGTGTAGGGCCCTGGCAGGGCTACATCCCTGGAGCTGCTTTATGATCTCCTGAACTTGGCAGCTGCGCTTGTTTTTTTCAGTGCAAGGCTTGATCCAAAGGCCACCTCAGAATTCTTTGAGTAGTCGTACAGCCTCCTTGAGAAGTTGATATAGGCTGCTTCGGGAATGTGCAAGAGAATGTTTTTTGTGCACAGTTGTCACGGAGGTTAATGTGCTAGTATAAAATCTAAGCCCATCCAGATATACCCAATTATTTTGATATTTTTGTGATATGGTAGCCTTTAAGCCTTACATTTCCACCCTCCCTACACTAGCATGAATAATGTAAACCTGTCAATACAGTAAAGCAAAATTCATGAAATCACGAAGTACGTACAGTTCTTCTGTGTCATGGTTAACAGAACACAGGCTGAGTTAGGCAGAGGTATTGGCACTTCTTCCCCTCTCCGAAAGGCTGTATAAATGGATTGAGTCAAAGCACACAGAGCTTGCGAACTCTTCTGGGTGAAGTGGTTGATCCTATAAGACTCAACATCTCAGGACAATGTTGTAAGGAGCATTTAGAGAGAACTCCAGCAAAAGCAGATAATTTTCAACAGCCATGGATAGAATATTGCCCTTCAGAATCTTTGATATTAAAAGTTTAAAAAAAGAAAGATGAAAATAAAGATGGAGTATGACTCTGAAGGCACATGGCAAGTTGAAATTGCTCTGAACCGCAGCTTCACTGAACTGACTCTGACATGACTCAAGTACGAATGACAAGCTGGGATCTTCAGTACTGAGATTCGGAGCAGATGCAGATAATAGCGTGCTGTCCATATGGAGAACTATTTTAATTTAAGAGTAACTGGTGAGTATCCTCATGCTCTTCATCGGGAATTTCTGCAAACATAGGGAGGAAGCTCAGCCCCTGCAGGGCTGATGCAAGCAGCATCACCTTGGGTGCCGAATGAGTGGAGCCATGACATTGAATCTAGACCAAGCCGAGTGGCTGGGCTGAAGACTTAATGGATGCGTCTGGTTTTGAGTGACATATTTGGTGTTTCTGCCAGTGTAGAGCTCGGAAGAGTATAGTGACTAGAAGAACTGGTGATAAAGCATTAGAAACTACTGAAAGGAAAGTGGTAAAAAACGTGTAAGCTCACCTACACCTGCTCTTGGTCTTTATTTTAGCAATCATTATGCATTTCTTTTACTTTATAGATTTTAGTTCTGTGAGACTGGCAGCAATTGCTTGTGAGTTGGGAAACTGTTTGCTGGAGAAATAAGTTATTTGCTTTCCACAATTCAGAAAACTAATTCCCACGTTCAGCCTTGTAGGAATTTTGCTAGATTCAAAGGTGGAAGCTCTTGTAGCAAGAAGTCAGTTGCGTGCCTTGTTGATTGTCTGTGCTGAGAATCATCTTCACAAAGACTCTGGGTTCCTCTGTTGTAAGGTTTTGAAGTAACTTACAGGGAGATCATTGAGGAGAGACTAGTTATTCTTAAATTCATGTCAGTGGTGTTAAGCCCCATGCCTTCTGGGGAATGTCCTTGTATTGCTTAGTTGTCCAGATAAATGTAAAACTGGCTGCCTGAACTCACCATGAGATTCTGATGAGCATAGCAGCAAAGAGTTACAAACTTCTGCACGTGACTTCAGAGTTGTCACGTCACTTCAGCTCTGTGACAATACGAAATGGGATCATGACTGGTATTTTTTTATTCATTAAAGGCTTTGCCAGGGAATAGACGGAACTCTCGCAGAATTGGAGCAGTAACAAATAAGCCTGGTAATACACATATGGACTTAACATGTGGCCTAATAGTGTGGTACCTTCATCCCACTGCAGCTGGGTGAAATGTTTTGAAACATCAACGTTGCACAGAAAGGGACCTGCTTCCCAGCAGGAACAGAGCTGCTGGCCTGCCGTTGGTCGGGGTTGTAGTGAATGCCTGATAGAATTTTTTTTTCCCTGCAGATCAGCTGGAAGCTTAGCAAGAAGGAATAAATAACGGCAAATTACAGGATCATCACTGTCTCTTCCAGGGTACTTCACCTATCAAATTGTCTGGGTAAGAGTGTGAGCGAGCGTCCTGTCTCCGGAAGAAGACTACAAAAACCAGGCAGGATCTGAGTGCTGAGAGGTGGTTCTAGTGATGTTCGGTTTTGATTTGTCAGGAGACCCAACTAAGCGCTCCTAAGCCAATGGGGAAGCGGCAGAGTGCCACTGGGAGCATGTCCACTGTGACTCAAGGTCCTTGAGCTTGGAGTGATGGTGACATTTGCCTCATCCTTCCAGCCTGGACCTGCAGCAGCATCTTTGCACCTGCTCATGCTCTCCAGGTCTAGGCTAGAATGGAGCTCTCCTTCCTCATAAGGGAGTCTTGGGAAGGACAAGCAGAGGCAGAAAGCAGTTCTTGAATAACGGGACTTGGATATTGCAGGCTGCTGAGTGTCCTACCAGAAGTCTATGGAGGCTGAGGCTGATGCTTGTGGGCCATGAGAACCCTGATGGGATGGGACAGTCCCTGAAAATGGTAGCATTTGGGGGAAATGTTCCATCTCCCACTACAGAGACAGACTGCCAGTTTGCGCCTTCTTTCTTAGGGATGCTCTTAAATGAACAGTTGGAAAACATAACTCGTGTGGGGTCAATGCAGAGAGAATTAGCTAGACCTCTGGCTTGGTTTTGTGAATCTACTAGAAGCTGAGAAGAGATGGGAAGGGGCATGCATCTCCATCCTTTTTTTTGTGATGCAGGAGCACAAGCAACTGGCAACATTAGACCCTGTCACACAGGGCAGTAACACATACAGGATTAAAAGAATGTCCAAAGAAGAGCAACGAGGCTGGTCAGGAGAACAAGTCTTATGAGCAGCGGCTGAGGGAGCTGAGGCTGTTTAGTCTGGAGAAGAGGAGGCTGAGGGGGGACCTTATTGCTCTCTACAACTGCCTGAAAGGAGGTTGTAGTGAGGCAGGTGTTGGTCTCGTCTCCCAAGTAACTAGCGATAGGACGAGAGGAAATGGCTTCAAGTTGCATCAGGGGAGGTTTAGATTGAATATTGGGAAAAATGTCTTTACTGAAAGAGTGGTCAGACATTGGAACAGGCTGCCCAGGGAAGTGGTGGAGTCACCATCCCTGGAGGTGTTCAAAAAACGTGTAGATGTGGCACTTTGGGATATGGTTTAGTAGGCATGGTGGTGTTGGGTGGATGGTTGGACTCGATGATCTTGGAGGTCTTTTCCAACCTATGATTCTATGACTCTATGATTCTAAAAAAGAAAAAAAAGTGAGGTGATTACTGATGTACTCCAAGGACAATGTTTACTTGATGTCATAACAAACTGCAGCTTTATTATTTTTTTCAACAATGGGACCATCAGTACTTCGTAATGCAGTAGTTTGACTCAGCTAATGCTTTCAGGATCTATTTCCCACAAATCAAGAACACGTGTTATTACTATGGGAATATACAAGAAGATACTTATTTAAACAACAATATTTTGTCTTTCGGGCTCCTTTCCCGTTGAATTAAGTATAGATGAATGCTAGAAGATGGCATTTCGTACCATACGAGGCTGACGAGACAAACCCCGTCCGAGGGTGGTTCGCACGCCACCCGCACTTCCATTACAGCTGTCCTAGCCCAGAGGCTCCCGTAAGAGCTTTGGCGCAGGGGGACCCGCTGCTGCGTTGCCACCTCTGCGCGCTCAGCGCGAGCGACGGCGCCCAACACCGACGAGCAGCGGCGGGGGC